CTTCCGGTCAGTAAGTTCGCACCTTAACCACCGAGCTATCTCGAGGTTTACCTTCCCCACTAGTTTAGCAGCAAGTCGTACGTGTTAACTAATCACCCAGCCAATAGACACGATAAAAAGTACCTTGGTTCCTTCATGAGAACAATGACGCTGCTGATGATAGACACTCGTTGTTCGATTATGACAGAATTATCTTCCACACATGGAGCAGAGCGTACCAAATATCATGTTCTGTTCATCTAAGAGTCAGATATTTGGTTTCTCAGTAGCGTCCAAGTGCAGATATCAAAAATGAAATGTTATCGAGTTCACTGCGTCGACCCATAACCTCTTCCAAAGAACTGACAGGCGCATATCTTTCAAACATCTCAGCAAGGGTGAAGCAATTACAATATGACGTAGTGGGATAACTGAGAGAACCGAACTAATAGAAAAATCCGGTGCTTAGCCTGGGAATGTTTTGTGTATTCTAAGAGTTGGTGTACGCATCCCAAAACAAAAGCATCGAGCCAACTAGGTAGTTTCAAGATAACTTCATCAGTGAGTGAAAAAAAAGTTCGCCGATAGAAGGGCAACAGACATAAGTCAACCTGTCGGATATAGTAGCCAAGGTGACGATCCAGTGGGAGTAACTGCAACGGTCAGTTTGGCAGTCAGTGAAGGAATCGCGTGAGACGTTGGAGTGACTGCGATGAAAGTCTATTTTTCACTTTTTGTTCTCAAGCGAAATATGTGCAGCAGGATCCGTCCGCGGAAGACAGGAAGATTCCAACAGTTCGTTATAAGAAAAACGAGGCAGATGTTTAGGAGCCAGCTACTAGGTGAGAGTTCTGTGGTATGAAGCCAATCTTTGGGTTTTGAAACGCTACTTTCGAAGCCTAGTAAGCTGAGGATAGTTCAACATACGTGCTTCCTTAGTGATGCATAGTGCCTCTCTACCGAAAGGGTATCACAGCTAAACGGCTCTTGGAGGATTGCGAAGGTTCAGAAATAGCATCATTCGTATTCTGAATGAAGGTAGCAAGGCAAAGATGGGTCGCGGAAGATGACTTGGGATCCTATCGGATGAACCATAATCATCATCAGCCCCTGTGGAAAACGTGTACTTGTCGCACGGTGTTTGTAGTTGCCCAGTTCCCTTCACCGTTGAATTGGGGAGGTGAGGTAGATAGTTAAGCATTGGAGGCGGTAGGCAACATAACTGATGCGCAAATAAAGGGGCATCGATAGACCAGGAGGGACGCTATGCATTGAAAGCAACAGTTCAGGTGCATGAGCACCCGAGGGGGGAGTGGGCTATGTCTGAAAATGTTTTTAAAACCATTGATGTGCTCCGTCTCGGGGTACCCATCCAGGAAAACCGTAATGACCAGCGCAGCTGAGTTTGCCGGTGAGGGCTTTCATACTTCGCTGTTTGATTTCCTTTGGCTCGTTTCCAACCTTCGCGTCATTGTGTTCTTTGACGTCCCAACAAAAAACGAGCCATCAGAGCTCAGGTTACTACGCAGTGTTCGTACACCTACCTGGTCTCTTTGGACAAATTTTAATCGTAGACCCAGATAGGAGGTTGTGGCTGAGATTATTAAAAAAAGCCTACAGCGACAGGGTTGCTCAAAGTGTACCCATCAGGCGACTGAACTGTGAAATAGCTGCATATAAAATATAAACGATCTTTCTAATGCTCAATTGGACTTGGACAAACATCGAGATTTTTCGCTTCTGTAATTCACACAGATACTGCCTACTATATACTTTGTGCCGGGGGTGTATGTCCGGAAGTTGCATGTCCTTGTAGCTCAATGCACTGCCAGAGAGTGACTCAGGAACGCAAGTGTCAGGTGCGCATAAGTCATCAGCTGGTGCACACACTAAAATAACTAACTTTCCGCTTTTGCAATCGGTAATTCCCAAATTTATTCAAACCTTTCATTTCCACTAAAACACCGTGATTTATCACTTAATGTTGCGTTGCTCATTCACAAGTCAACCGACGACCCAAGCAGTCTTGCAAATACCTCCATGGTCGTTTGCTTCCAAAAAAATGACTTCGGAAACTGGCAGCTTGGAAAGATGGCTGTTGCAGTGTCAAGACGTCTCTGTAGAGGAGGTAATTGGAAGGTGTACGTTCTACGTTCCGTAGATGTTCTTTTGGTATATACATAAACGACCGTGTCGTCCAGAGCGTCCCTTTCGAAAGCTCGAAGTATTCAAGCAATTTATGCGGACAGACCATCGTTCAATTAGTTGAGGGTTAGTCGATGTGGATGTGTGTGATTTGTCTCCTCTGATGTGAAGAACTTGCAGTCACCGTATGGGATTTTGCATTAACGACGAGGAAACAACACTTCAAAAATGTGTTATAAAGTTCATATACTCTAAAGGAATTCTGTAGGTTTAGCTTGAAGAATTCCCTCTCTCCTACCAATTACTATGGAAGCCCGATGGCAATAGAGAGGAATAGAACGGGCTAGAAATTGTGATGAACATAAGCGAAAAGCAACCTGTGCATCTAAGTAAACACGGGTAATTATAGGGAAAATAGTCCCGGCGACTCAAAATTAACGCATTTACTAATTTTCGTAGTTTGATCGATCTGCGTGAAACTAAGAATATCGAGTAGGAAAAAGGTGAACTTCTTGGACGTTAAAAATGCCAGCTGTACCACCCAACAACGTACGAGACATTCAGGCAGGGGAGTATACCACCTATATGAAAATTGACGCGTTTCAAAACATCGATACGGCTGGACGTCGAGGGGCATTGCACCCCCTTAGGCGACGAAAAGGATGAGATTAAGATGAACCGACCGAGGTGGTTATGGACGCGAAACGATCAAATTGCACTAACTCTCCCAGTTCCAGTTAAAGCGAACACACGACGTTTGTTTATATAACCAGTCCACAGTGATGAGGATGGAAGTGGTTAGGGTGGAGGTAGTGGTGGTGAGTGGGCCGAGTTGTGTTTATCGGATTCTGTGGGTCAGTTCACACGATCCCGCCGATGGTGCAGCATATGACGCTTGTCACCTGATTACAAGCAAGCACTGTCCACTTAACAAGCGAAAAACAGGAAGATGATGAGAATAATTTCCGGTGATGGACCAATCACCCATGACCGTCCTCTAGAAGCGCACAGGTGTGCGCGCCGGTGCGCCCAAAAACAAGATAGTCTAAGTAAACTTAGGAACCATCGTAAACATAAGGTGACATTATCACAGCCAAAGGTGCACGATCAATTCGGATGGGGCTTGGATGGAAGTCAAAACATTGAGGAAAGTAGTTGTACCAAAAAAGCCGTATCGAAAATTGTTGGTCGATGTACTTGGATGCCAACTAAGAAAGGACAGAGTGGGGAATTTTCTAAAACCAAATGGAGCAACAAAGTGGAACTTACATGCCGAATCAAAAAAGCACGCTCCAGGAAATGCCGGTGGTCGAGGACCTGGGCTCGCATGAACGAACCCTCCCTGCAGTGCCGCAGCCATCTGTGCCGCGGCTAACTGGGATTGCTGTGCCCTCAAGAAGAGGGACAGAAGGGCTTGCTGTTGTTGAAATGTTACGGGTGAGGGACTACTGGTTGAGAGTTCGTGAGGAGATTGCCGTTGCTGTTGTTGCTGCTGCTGGATTGCGGCCAGTGCAGCCGCTAGAGCAGGATTAGCCGGATTTGTTTGTGTGACATGAACCTGAGTTTGGAGCTGGTGAAGTGCCGAGTTGTGCTGCTGTTGCTGTTGTTGTGTCAGCCAGCTGTTTAGGGCCAAAGCAGCTGCTGAATTCGGATTGTCTGGTGTTCCCTGAGTAGGATAGACGGGTGAATAGGCAAGCGGTGGTGCTGGTAAGTAGGATGAGGCAACCGCTTGTGCGGTGGGGAAAGGAAGACCGTATAGATTCGATGAGGTTAACAGACCGGAAACTCCAGAAGTAGTCAGCTGAGGAGTAGGAAGTGCGCCACAGTAGGTCGAGGACAACGCGAGGCCATGTGTGAAAGGGATGGAGATGTCAGCTGTAGACTTGAAAAACTCGACATCAGTTCGTTGTTGTTCAGCCGGACCCGTTGACGGGCAGGTGCCATTACATAAACTGGATGCCCCATCGGATGATTCCGATTCCGGCACTGATCCAGCTGCGTAACTAGAGTTTTGGTTCGGGCGCTTGGCAGGATATCGTGACTGTGTGGGAAAAAGACAACCTGGTTGTTGAATCATCTACACTAAAAACTGTTGGAAAGCAGATGGTTACGATATCCTTTTAACTCATTGAAATTGTCGGGTGATCAGGGGGCATAGTAACTGCAAAAACCAAATTCACTCGACATGATCATTCGGAGCAAGAAAAACGTTACTTCTCCTACGGAAGAGACCAGGCCTTTTACAGTGGGCTTTTTCAAGTGAGAAATAAACAGAAGAGGTCGTCCCCGCTCATACCACTCGCAATATATTGGAGATTCACTGTTCAGAACTCCTAGCTTTCTGGGTCCCAGTAGGTTGTCTAAGTGTGAAAATGATGGGATGATAACAGAAAGAGCCCATGAGGCATTCAACATGTGACTAAGACACGACACACCAAACCATTGCACGGACCCCGAGGTTCCCAAGCTGCCAACAGGATCATTCAATACAGCATTATCGGTCCCAGTAGGCCTTGTAACAACTCAACAATATGGGAAATCTCCACCAGAATCGGACACCCAACTGCCGCAACATTCTGACAACAGGTTTAGATTGTGGAACTGGACCTAATATTGCAAAACAGTGACGTTGCAGGAGTTCAGCTGACTAGTCCTGACTAGCCCTCAGATAGCCGGTTGAATGGGAACAGCGCTGAAACGGCTAAAACGTTCACTGAACTGCAGTGGATGGTATGATGCGCAGACCGATTTGCAATACGCCACTGTAACTTGACACAAACCTTCACACCACACCTGCCAATCGATTGTCCATGTCTAGGCTTTCACTAACGGGCTACTCGAGTTCGATGACAGCTTGTGTTGAGAGGATACTATAGCTAAACGGATGTTAGCATCCCTACTATTAAACTTAAATTAAGAAATTGGACACCTACATCACACCAAACAATGCGTTGCTACTGACTCCGCCAGGGCGAAAATTGACGGGGCAGTGTATGGTATAAAGTCATAAAGGTGCAGTCTGCGAAAGTTGCACACACTGGTAGAAACCCCTAGGTGTTTTCCGCAATTGGTCGCTATGCGTTTCAACAGCAGATTTCCGTGAAGCAAAAGTTCCATCCACCCGCTTTACCGGAAACTCATAATCGATGTCACAAGGAGTGCTTTAAGGCCCAAAGTATGAAACCCGATAGTAGCGAAAATAAATTTTGGACAGATTCCATCACTTGAAAAGGTCAAAAGACTGACCCGTCAGCAAGCAAAACTCTCAACAAGATGGGGAAATCCTGTCCTTGTTGAAGGAAGGGTGATGGCGTGTTGTGGGTTGCTATGTCCAACGGCATGAGACATGCACTTTTACTTTAAGGATCAAACGTTTGTACAATCAACGTTCACTGTTTCGCTTGATTTTGAGCAATTGAAGGCAAATCAAATACACACCAGCATGATTAACTTGTACAATATTCACTTCTCTAGTAAGTCTGTCCCAACATGGAGCGTGAAGAATTATCGGACAACTGAAATAGGCCCACATGTCATGGCCTTCTAAAGAGTACATTCTTCCGATACAATAGGCTGTATCTGCTAAGAAATGTCTTTCATGTCGTGCATATTCATCACTAAAGGATTAGAAATAAAGGTAAAATATGTTTGCCATTTTAGAGCAACACAACAAGTAACGTGAAGTCCAGCTTCTGCACCTTGCTACCGAAACTACTCCAAAGGAGACAGGATGTCCCTCCGCCTCACCTGAAAGTTGCTCCACGAATCGGTAGTGGGTTTTGTAAATACCAGGGAGCGCAACAGAGAGCAAACGACGGACCCCGGTCCCACAGAGCCCGTTTTCTCTCGCCGGTGTTATGCTTGATTTTGTGAATGAGTTGGGTTGTAGACTGCCTCATCCATATAGTGGTGTACGATACTCTTCTTTATATCAATGAATACGAGAACGACCAACTTTCCTTCAATACTCGTCTCACAAAACATCCCAACTAGATTACCGACCTGGTTTATCAAAAGCAATCCTTGATATCATCGGGAAGCTCTACCAGAATGTCATCGTATAACTAGAAGACTAATTTTTCATCAAGAAAGTCGTCTTCAGATGACTGAATGAGTAATCAGTAAACCATGGGCAGCGATACCTCTATAGGCTCGTATAAGAAGTTCCGAGTGGCTGCTGAAAAGTCCGATGCTTGTGAACTCCAGAAGCTGTCCGGGTGGACTTGACTCCCACTTAGTTGTTGACGTGTATCCGCGAAATTCCCAATACCTAGGTTTTAGGCAAAAATTTGCACCTTAACTAATGTTACATAGGCAGGTAGTTTCTCATCTGATAAACCGCGCACCGAAATGCAGTGGTTCCAGCTGCTACAACCTGAGGATGAGGATAATAAAGGAAGGGCAGCAACCCGTTGTCAGTGACGGCCAATCCGTCCACTGAGGTTAAATGGATCTGTTTGCCCAGTGCATAAACACACAGTGTTACAAAGGTATAGTAGTGGAACTTAACAAACCAGCGAATAAATCGTGTCTAAAAAGTAGTTTGGGTACATTTTCCCCGCTAAGTACGGTATCTATTAAAACATAAGGCGATGTATTGCTGACACTAACGAAACCAAATGGTTTTCCACACTTAAATCGGACTGTTTCTGATCCCGAAATTTATGTTTCGATGTAATCCTCAGTGCTAACAGGGTCAAAAGCTGCAGCGACCTGATAAATTCACAGCTCTCAAAGCGACACTTTCCAACTTAGAGAAATCCTGGGGGCGCTTATGACCACATCGTACTGCTGTAAGGTGCTTGTGAGTTGTAGTTTTGCCTGACCGAAATACATTCACGGCTGTTTCAGAAGGGTTTGGTAAATAATCGGTGGTTTGCAGTTTCGTTGTTCGATCATTCCCTGAAGATGAAGGATGAAAATGGTGATCGCCTCAGTAAGCAGTGTGTGCACGAAGTAGTCCAAGTAATACAATGCACTATTGGTTGTTATCCTCACTTAAAAAAGCAGTGATTCGTTGTTTGATGAGAAGAAATGGTCACGGAGATGGTCAACGTGATATCACCGGTGGAAAGGCTAACAGGCGCCATGTAAGGGCTCCCATTAGGGTACAACGGCACATCAGCAAACCATTCCGCACTTCATACCATCCATCGTAGTTCATTAAAAGTTGTCCGCTTCAGTACTCTTTCTTCCTATGCTGCTTTAAGGCTGCACACCGCGCAGCTCACAATATTCGATAGATCATATCACTGTGTTATACGAAGAGGTCCAGTGGAAAACTGTTCACGACCGCATCGAATGCTGCATAAAACGGATGTCTGAATCCGACGGGGACTGAGGTCCCATACTGCGGTGTTTGTTACTAGGACTACGGGGAACGACCATGCTGTAGAGCAGAGAACAATATCACCGACATTCAATCGATGGGTCGAAAATACTTCGACAAATTCAGAGTTCAGAGACTATAGAAAGCGCACCCCATATGTACATCAAATGATATGTTCGAATAGAAAACGTAAGCCTGATCACAATTCATCACAAACACTCGCGATTTTAGGCATCCTAAAACAGCCATCATTAAGGAATAATGTTCCACTGAAAACTGCGGGAATAAATCTTCAGTCCATCTCGCTTCCATCTTTGAGAAAAGTTACCGTATTTCCTATAACCACCAACGTTTTGAACACCACGACTGACGGGTTCATCTCATACCTTTGGACCCTTGCCACACCATCATCATCCACCAACCCGCTGGATTGTCAGTTTCGGATGTCAGCTAGATGCCAGATAGCCAACCCATCTATACAGGAGTGGTTTACATAGAAAGAAGAAATTTCCCACAATGCAAGTGACTTCTGTCTGGGGTGATAAGCCAATATAGGACCAACTACACCGACACGACAGACCATTGACGGGTCACGTTGCTGCTGACATTACGGAATTATATTATCCACCTCATTTCATTCAAAACAAATGATTTACGAGCGAACACTGACTACCAAAAGCTAGCGTAAGGGTCTTAAACTCGTGTGCAAATGCTACTAAACCATCGAACCACAGCGGCTCGACGTGAACACGGGCCAAACTGCAGCTAGATTTCAAGAGCCAATGGCATAAACAATCTGTTGCTGAAAACGTTGTGCACAGTGGGGCATTGGACTGTCTTCTACAGCGCCACAATTTCCACAGCCTTTGAAAAGTAACACAATGCTGAAATAAAGAGCACGTGATGCTACTTAACCCATATAGCATGATTACGTACTGTGGTATGCCTAAAAACTTGAGTCGATACGAGTGCAACCCACGTGCTCATGATGCACGGGGTAAGACACTACTAATTCTACATATGTAGCAGCAATGCATTGCAATCGAACAGTCAGTCATGCATCGTGGAGGCCAGCAATTAACTGATACAGACAAGAAAGTATAAAAGTGAAATTTCTATGTGATTCATCTATGTAAATCTAATTGCCAAGTAGAAAATGTATTCCCCCGTAGTAACTTCACAACCATTAATAATAAGCAAATCTAACAGATAGAGACCAAAGTTTGAAGGGGAAATAATACAGCACACTGAATGTTGATAGCAGAGCGCACCCGAATCGATATGGAGGAAAGTCAGATGAACAGCGGCGGTGTCAGACCATCTTGTAACAACGAGAGCAAACAGAGCCAAAGCACGATCACAAATGTTGGGGGCTGTGTGCGAGGCAGCAATGTGAGGTACGACTTGAACGAAGCTCTCAGCTTCCAGGGACCACAAGGTAAGCGAAAGAGCGAGGCGAGAACACAGGGAAGCTCAAATATACCTGAGAGCGTACGCCGCTTTCCCCCGAACGCTCAACAACTTGGTAATAATTTCATTAGGACCACCAGGTGAATGCGAGGACAACACGCGGTTACAAAGTGATAGGCGGTGGTGATACGTGGGTGGGTTGGGGCTAAGAAAATCACGGTGATAATATAGATATACGCAAAAAACAAGCAAAGAAACACAACGAATAAACGACAGCAAAAACGTATAATAAAGCAGTTGGAACGGGACACCCACATGCAAATCCAAACCATTTACGCCATCACCAGACGCGCTGTGGCTGCTAGCTTCACGCTTCATGCCAACACGAACAACAGAAGACACAGTAGCTGGCGCACTGATTGCAAGTGAAGAAGAGGTCACGTCAAGCGGGGTGGTAGTGGTGGTGTTCAACGACGGAACGGGACACCCACATGCAAATCCAAACCATTTACGCCATCACCAGACGCGCTGTGGCTGCTAGCTTCACGCTTCATGCCAACACGAACAACAGAAGACACAGTAGCTGGCGCACTGATTGCAAGTGAAGAAGAGGTCACGTCAAGCGGGGTGGTAGTGGTGGTGTTCAACGACATCGTTGATGATTGTGCTGTGGTGGTGGTGGTTGTAGTTGTGACGGATCCAACCGCAAAGTTTGATGATGGTGGGAGTGAGACAGCATTCATCGTGACAATCAGATCAGATGGATGGGATGTGTTGTGAGTAGAGACCCCAACCACCTGGCGCTGTTCTTGTTGCTGCTGCTGCTGATGCAGCAGCAGTTGCGACTGCAGAGCCGATAAGATCTGAGTGGATTGAAGACGAGGGGGCACCAACTGGCTCATTGTCTGGGAATATTGCAGATTGGTTGACGTCTGATAAATTTACGTGCATTGCATAGCGTTAATAGGACAAAAACCAGCGACAAAACTATGGACAACGCAGATGCGCCTGTTCACATACTACTTTAGAGTTGCGCACAAACAACAAACGCATACAATGGAAAAAAGCGCACATCACCGCCTACGACAGAATTATCGCAACGAATAGGCAGTGAACAGGCAAAGCGAGATTCACAGAACAGAGGCAAATACAAAGCCAGATGAATTTGTGAATGTTAGGAGAGACAAACTGTTCTTGGCAGACGCAGGAACAAGCAAGCTGCAAGGAGAAAGCGGTAGATGCTCGATCGCATGGCGCGTAGCAATGTGCGGTGTAATTATGTCCTAAGGATACGGAGCTAATGTGAGCTAAAGTAGGGTTACGGCCGGGGATAGAAAATTTTTCCAGTAAGTTAAAAAGCGGTGCTGCAGAAAAGCGAGCACGTGTCGTTAGGATAGCAGACAACCGCACTAAAAATGGGTACCATAACCACATACGGATAGAGATTAAATTGATTTTCAACAGGCAGAAACCTCAACAAGTTCGACTGCAAATCAGCACTGCCTTTCTTGATTCCAGTCATTAATTCGAAACCAGATCAACATCCAACAAGGAATTATACTGGACGAAGAGCAATAATTGCTGTCATATTTGTGACAAGGCCGAAACCTCAAGACGCCTACAGGCAGCCGGTTTACATAAATAATTATGTCGATAAAAGGAAATGCATCTTCATCACACAGTGTAGCAAAGGACAGCAGTTGGTTGATACATGGAAGTACCTACCTAGTAGAAAACAAATTCCGAACACACTAAACGCATTTGAGAAAGCAGAGTGGCATTTCAACTGGGTGGATTATGGTAGATTGGATTCCAGAAACAAACTGGAGACAATCGGATGCTCAGGTTATGTACAGTTAACAGGTGATCTAGCTCATCAAAAAGTTGGGTTCCCAAAAACTATGGCGAGGAAATAATCCATGTTTTGTTCCACCAAAGGAACTAGTGTTGATCTTCGTATAGAGTGACTCTCTCTTGGGAGCCCCCAGACTTGGGGGGAAACTATCATAATCATTGAGACAATATACCGGTAATACACACTGGCAGTTAACTGTTGTAACTACCGTTTAGCTGTAACCCCCTTCCGGTGCCAAGCTGCCATGCTACCCTAAGGAAGAACGAGGGCTGGGATACTGCCAAGTTACTCAAGCCTAGGTAGGGGAAGTCGAGAGGCAGAGTTCGGATTCGAACCACGGACCTTCCGGTCAGTAAATTCACATTCTAACTAACCACTTGAGCCATCTCGCCCCCCCCCCCACTGTTATAACTAAGGCAAAGGGGACTATTAGACCTTATCTGGAGGCCGCCCTCCCTTCTGGAAGTTTCTTTTTAGGTATTCCTAGTGTGCTACCTCTCAGATAGTTGTCATATGCATGAAAAACCAATAGCCGAGTGAATCTGAATGACACAAAGTGAAGTCACTTTGGTACGGCTACCGTATCTTCTCCCCATAAGACTAGAGCAAAACCAATTGCAATTTTTCGTGTAAAGTAACAACGCAAAGGGTATATGAAAGTTGAGATTTTTGCAAGGT